AACACTCATTCAATCCAAACAAGCCCTACTAGGATCTTCCTAGTTGTCACCTGAAACAAAAATAAAACTCCGATCAGTGATGCCGAAATTAGCACTCTGACGAATAAGTTAGTCTCCGTAGAAATATTAGTCTTTTTCCTTGGTTTCTGAAGGTACAACTTTTTTAGCACATACTTCATTCTTCAGCCTCCTCTCTCTTTTTATAGAATCATTCTCCTTGATATTTTCTTTACGTAACCTAACCCTTCATCATCACTCTGTCAAGGCTCATTTCCCTACTATACTTTTTTTAAAAAGGACAGTCTAGATTTGTCTAACCTAGTCTGGCCGACTTTTCCAATACATTCGACTCAATCATGTGGCTTAGGTATCCGTTACTCGGTATACTCCCTATCCTGTTTCTGTGTCTATTCGGCAATGACCCAAAGTCCAGTGAGCTTTGGCTTAATTCGACCCATTTGGGATGGGCTTAGATAGACTCTATTAGGTATTCCTCTTAGATAGACTCTATTATGACAATAGTTTACAGAAATTTTGCTCCAATGACAAGTTATGGTAGTTGTCAAATTTGACAAATATCAAAGCTTGTGTCAAATTTGACAGAAGTTTTAGCAACTGTCATTAATGCTTGTATACAAGAAAAACGTTCCTTCTCTCTCCCTCCCTCCTAGCAAAACATGCCTCCCTCCCAGCAAAAGATCCCTCCCTCCCTCTCGTCTGTCATTTTTACAGAATTGGTGTGTGTGGGATGTCCGGCCGGACGTACCCCCCACACCAATTTCTGTGCCAAAATGACAAAAATGATAGCCCTCCATTGGATCACTATCGCTATAATTCTACCATTTTTTACTGTTCATTTCTATAATTTGGCAATGGCAATACTATTATAGTATTTGTCATTGGAGATGCTCTAAGCTAGCATAAAAGGGTAAGTATCAACAGAAGTCTTAGAATTTATTTAGGAATTGATTTTTTAATATCTTTTTAATTTTTTACAAAATGATTTAGAAAAAAGTAAAAAGAATAAATTGACTTTTTGTATTCACCTTTTTTCTTATTTAACTTTTTTTCAAACGTGTCATATGAGTTATCATTAATAAGTCTTATAATAACAACTAATAATATGATAAATCATATATGATATAAAAAATAAAGAAATTTTATAATACATACCTTAAAAAAGGTATGTATTATATGCTATAATTATAACATTTGTGATCTTTAGTTATAGTGTTAGTTATGATTCATTGTGGTGTTGATTATGATTTAGTTATGATCTTTTATGGTTTATTATTTTGATTGCCTCAAGTGATACTTGGTTAAAACAATTGGTTATGATGCATTGTCGAATTAATTATAACTCAATTATAATGTATTGTAATTGTAATTTGATTATAACCAAATAAGTCTTTGGTTATGCTTAAAAGATGGTTTGATTATAATCCATTAAATTAGAACAGAAAATAATTTAATTATGACAGTTTATAATAATAACACCATGAATTATAAAATAATATAATTTACATATAATACATTCCTTGTTTTTTAGGATGTGTATTGTAATATTACTTGTTTGTGCTATTTTTTGACTACACTGCCAACCAAATACTCAGCTAGAGAACACTGGCAGAATAGATTGCGCCCGAACGACCTGTAACAGAAAGATGAGACTCCGACGGTGGTTCGTCCACTCGGGGGCACTTCAATGATCAAGTCAGTAATCAATATCTCTCAAAGATAACCAATTGTGCTTTAACTCATAATGCCAGAATATAAAAAGTATGCCTTAGACCCATGAGGGTGCCTTACTTTTATAACCAACACTGACCTGATCCCTGTAGAAGCCTAGCTTCAATGGACTTTGGCTCAATGCTTATCCTGGACTCTCTAATAGATAAAGATAAACTCTCTAAGAGCTTTATCCTTATCCAAGCTAAAGTCCTCTCTCATTCTAGGGCTCTTATAACTTATCCGTTTATCTCGGACTCCGGTATCTCCGTAGATAACCTCGGCCTAGCCGAGATCACCTCGACCATGATCAAGACACGTGGCACCTCGGCTGGCACTCCGGTGCCACCTTGGCCACGTGTTGTCATTCAAGAAATATGTCCCCACAATTGCCTCCTAGGTTCTATTACCTCGGTATCCTGAGGTGATGAAACCTATATCATTTGAACTCATAATACGTCGGCTAAACTTGCTTTATCATTTGTTACCGAGGTCATCATTAATCGGCTCCACATGACCAAGACTCGTAGTCTATTTTCATCAATGCCTTAGAACCAAGAACCAAGTTTTTTTTCAATTTTTTTTTAGCCGAAATCATCCCTCTAGTCGGGGTCTTTGCTTAATTAAATCAAGAACTCCAAGAGTTTTTACATGTGTATGAGCTGTTACGCACAGTAACTCAACCGTTTTTGCCACGCGTTTCTTCCCCATTGAACCATACCTGACACGTGCCATCAAGTTGCGTCACATTTGCGTGCGCCGCCTGACAGGCACGTCATCCAAGGCACATTCATTGTGGTTTTCCGTCCTTTCATGTTTTTGACAAAATTCCGCCATATCTCTCTCATTCTTTTCACTTTTGCAAAGCTCTTAACTTTCTTTGACAAAATTTCTTTTCACTTTTGCACGTCATCCAAGCTCAAAGCTCTTAACTTTCTCTCTCTAAAAATCCCTTACCTCCATTGCTGCCTTCTTCAAGCTCTCTGCAACCATTTACTTCATCTGACGAAGTATTTTACCGTTCTTCTCACTGCCACCGCCTGAATCCAGCGAGTTTCATACCGACCTCACATTCTTTGGTGAGCCACTGCTTCTCCCTGTTTCGTTCTATGATTCACTTCGAACTCTGTACTCTGTTTTCATGAATGTACTTAGTCTTTTCTTGCATTTTTCATCATTCGTCTGATTGAGCATGTTTCGATTTTGCAATCTTATGTTTGCCCACTCTGTTCTTTGGGTCTGCCCACGCACACACATGCTTGATGTTCTTGTAAATTACCATTATCTTCATTTACATTTTGTTCAATGTTCTTGAATCGATTCTTGTTTCTGAATCATGCTTTTTGCCCTGTTTTCTTGTTGTCTTTTCTAGATTCTTGCCTTCAATTCTTGTTTCCATAGTCTTAGGTTTGGGACTTGTTTTAGAACTTACAAATTTTAGGAAAAATTGAAACAAATTCCCTTTGGATCCTCAAAAACCCTTGCCCTAGCATACATTTAGGTTTTGCCGAGGTCCTTTAAACCTTAACAAAACATTTCCTTCTGAAATCCAACACCCTCTCCACTTTAGCCGATGTCATGGGTATGTTCAGGTGGAGGGTAAACACCCCAACTAAGTTAGAATACTTTAGGTAGGAGTTTGCCATCCCTGCCGACATTCATCTTAGGTTGGCTGGGGAGGAGGACTCCATCATACCCACAAACGACTCCATGCCTTTCCCAGTGGTAGCCTTCATAGAGTGTGGACTTAGGTTCTCTCTTGACATTCTTTTTCAAGAAGTCCTTCACTACTACAAACTGAATCCAATACAGCTTGCCATTAACTCTTACCGAGTTATTAATGGTATAATTGCCTTAGCCAAGAAAGAGAATGCTAGGGTTACCCTTGCCGACATCTAGTACTACTACACCATGTGTGGCCTTAAGTCAGAAAAAGGCTACATCTACTGCCTTAAGCCGAGGTCGACGGAATACAAACTCATCGCCGACCTCCCTGATTCCAACAAGGGTGCTGGAGACGATTACTTTATCGTCTCGGGCAACTGGGAGTTCCCACCAGATGATGACCTTCACCTCTATCCCCTAAGCCGAACAGTTTTCAGAGAGGGAGACAGTAAGAGCTAAGTGTCACCTTTATTTGCTTTCAAGTCTTTCTTGCTTTGATATTTTTGTATGCTCTAACCTCTGTTTGTTTTATTTTGCAGTTCTTCCTCAGCCACCAAAGGATTTTTGCAAAACATTCTTCCTAAGCAAGGACTTCAAAAAGCTGGTGGGTCTGCCAATTGACCAGCGAAAAGCACCTCTGTTGCTCAACTACATCCCAACCTACAAGTCCATACTTCCCGACGTCCCAAGAAAAAGCAAGTCTCCTCCTTTAGCAACAACTCCTCAAGCTGAATCATCAAGGCCTGACTAAGGATCAACATCTGGTCCTGTGGAGCAACCATCAACCTCTGCTCCGCAACTAATCCCACAATCTCAATGCCAACGCTGACGTTGAGCTCCGTTGTTCACACTGGCAGGCAGGACCCGTAGCCGAAGACGCCTAAATACCGAGGCATCCTCTTACGATCCAGCCAACCCACCAACAGCTCTACCAGTAATCCGCCTTGGTATTAAAGTTACCGTTGCCATCTTCTCTGACGAAATGGGGCGACAAAAGGCCATTGCCGAAGACCTTCTTGCCGACATCCCCAGTGTCACCACAGTTCAATCTTTCCAGTCTCAACACAAGCCGAAACCAAAGAGACTGAAGAAAGCCCAAGCCAAGGCAACGGTGACTCAAATCGACTTTGAGGACACCTTGCCAATCTCAAAAATGGCTAAGGCAGAAAAAAGTGCCTCTGTCGCTGAAAAGAGGCCGGTAGAGGTTGCTTCTTCTAAATCCACCGGGTCAAAAAAGTCGAGGTCAAAGTCTACTGCAACCTTGGGGTCCCTGAAGTCCGATGCCCGTTGGCCTCTTCAATTACCATCGAGGACAAGCCAATCAGAGTTGGCGATAGCCCGACTAACATCAAAGTCGGCGTTGTCCTCTTTACTGCCTTGCTCATTCCAAAAGACCTCGAACGCAACGCCGAGGTCAGCGAATACGAAAATTTCACTCTGCAGTTACAACACTCCCTACAAGTAAGCCCCTAATACTTGGTACTTCATATTTCTTCCATATTAGAGAGTTTTACTAATTTGGTTTTTTCCCTTTCTTCTAGGCGATCCAGCACGCCTACTCCTTCGCGATGTAGGCCTTCGATATCAAGAAAGAATTGACCTGCAAGATGAAGGAGGTTGCTGGCTTGCTCAAGACCACAAATAAGGCTGAGGCCAAGATGAAGACTTTGATAGATCAGGCCAAGACAGCAAAACAAGCCCAAGACGAGGCCGAGAAGAGGTCAGGTGCTGCTGAGGCCATTGCTAAGGTCCTTGAAGCCGAGAAAAAAAAGGCCGAAGCAAAGACTGCCAAAGCCCAAGCCAAAATCATTGCTGCCTTGGCCACAAAGGACGCCGAGATAAAAGTGGCGGACGAAAAAGCATATGCCGAGGGGGCAGCCGACATCCGCGAGGATTACAAGAAGCAAGTGAAATAGGCATGCAACAAGGGTTTCACCCTTGGTTGGATGGTTGCCTTAAAGAAGTTGGTTGTCCCCGAGGACTCGCCTCTCTGAGAAGATAGCCGCATCGTCCTGCCATTCCTACCCACTCCAAGCCAATCCAAGGACGAAGCTGAGTCCAAGGAGGAAGCCGAGGCCAAAGAGACTGAGGAGACCGAAGCTGTTGGGGCCAAGTTCCCAACTCTGAATGAGCAAGTTTTAGACTTGACTCAGGATAAGGAGGACGAGGTCCAAAAGACCACCTCTAAGGCCGAGGTCGAGACTTCTAACAAGAGCCTGGACGATACACTGCGTGAAATCGACGCCGAGGTCCAAGCTGAAAAATCTACCCAGCTATCTGTCGAGGCTGACACAACACCAATTGCCGAGGCAGAGCAGACTGTGGAAAATGCATAAACTTTAATTTTTCCTCATTTTAGAACTTGCTCCCTTTTGGACAGCTGTAAATCTCTTTGTTTCGGACAATGTTAATTTGATTTTTGGCCGATACGCCACTTTTGTAATCTGAACAAGTTGTCTCTTTGTAGACCAAAGTGCCTTTTTTTTCTTTGAATACAAGTCTTCTTTTTTGACTAAGTGTTTGAATACTTGTCTTTCCTTTACTGTCTTGTATGATTCCACACTTTGAATATTTTGCATGTTTTCAAAGTACACCTTAGCTGTGTAGTCTTCTCGGGGTAAAAATACTTCGGATATATCTTCTAAATGTTTATCTCGGCCTTGGCATAACACATGAAAAAATTTGTGAAAATATTTTCACAAGTGTTTGTTTAAATCCTTTCCACTTATCAAGACTTCTGTTTTCCATTATCTTCCAAGTCATGGCAACATGGTGATCTCGGCAAGTACGTAGACAATTCTATTAGCATAACCATAGCTAAACTTCAACTTGTAAATTTTTCTTAAAATTTCAACAAGTGTTAAACCAATTTTCTTTCAAGATAATCTCAGCTTAACTTTAACTTGTAAATTTTTCTTAAAATTTCAGCAAGTGTTAAACCAACTTTAGCATGTAAATTTCAACTTCTAAGCAATATTCTCCATCTCTCTGCCCCCTAATATGAACTTAAGTTTCACTTATGTTCACATTAAGTATGTACCGAGGATCTTGTCGCCGAGATTAGATTCAAACAGAGACTGGCCGAGGTTATCAACTTCGGGCTCTGTTAATCTAACTGATATGTATTTAAAGTTTTCATTCTGTTGACATAACAAATCTAGGTTAATTTATCTTAGTCCAACTTGATTATATGCAAGTATAATTCAACTCTGTCATATAATAAGTCTAAGTTATTCATCATGTTTAAATTAGAAACATCGCCAGCTTAGTTCAACTTTATTATATGCAAGTATAATTCAACTCTATCATATAATAAGTCTAAGTTATTCATCATTTTTCAATCAGAAATATCGCCAACTTAGTTCAACTCTATTATATGCAAGTATAATTCAACTCTGCCATATAATAAGTCTAAGTTATTCGTCATGTTTCAATCAGAAACATTGCTAAGTGACTGGTCAATCATTTTACACAAGTTTGAAATCAAAAGTTGAGCTAAAATTTTATTAATTACTTCGGCTAAAATCAAAAGATTTTAAAGAAAGAAACAAAATGAAATTTTAATGATAGAAGAACTTCAGGTTGCAAGTATTCCAGGGCCTTGGCAATTCTTTGCCTTCACTATTTTCAAGCCGATATACCCCATTGCCTAGGATCGAGATGATTCTCACTACAAGAAAAGTAGACTTAAAAGACGGAATTATTTGCGATGGCACACTTGCCGTCTCAAAAAGTCACTTTGCGACGGCATAAAATGCCGTCTCAAAAAAGCAAAATATTTGCGACGGCACCATTTGCCGTCTCAAAAAAGCAGAGCATTTGCGACGGCACCATTTGCTGTCTCAAAAAAGCAAAGCATTTGCGACAGCACAATTTGCCGTCTCAAAAAAGGAGAGTATTTGCGACGGTATTTTCTGCCGTCGCAAATACTCTGCTTTTTCGCGACGGCATTTTCTGTCGTCGCAAAAAAGTGACTTTCGTGTTTTTTTTTTTTAGTGAATATTTTTAAAATTTAAAATATTTTTTTTAGATGCACCTTACTTAGATATATCTAAAAAATAAAAAAAATATGAAAAAATATTTTTTAAAATTAATAAATACATAAAAATACAAAAAAAAAAATGTATTGAACTATTGTATTTTTGGTATTTAGTGAATTTTTAAAAGATTTTTTTTAAATTTTTTTTACTTTTTAGGTGTATTTATGTTCGGTGTGTCTAAAAATTTAAAAAATTACTTAAAATATTAAAAAAAAATCAGTAAAAACAATATAACACGGAAAATAAGAAAGTATAATTTTCTCAAAAGAGTTTTTGAAAAAATTTAACCTAGCATAGTGATTGTGGTTTTGAGACAGCTTCATATATATACAGTCACAGAATGGTTTGAATAAATTCAACGATATTTTTCTGTTGCAAAAAAAAAAAAAAAAAAAATGATGTCGTCTTACTCTTTTGATATAACATATCTCTTTTCATTCATTTTTTCATCTTCCTGTCTCTCTGTCTCTATCTCTGTCTCTTTTCTTTATCTCTTTCACTCATCACTCTTCTTTCTCTGTCTGTCTGTTTCTCTCTCTCCTTTTCTCCTGTGTCTCTCACCTATCTCTCTTCTCTCTATCTCTCTCTTCTGTCTTCTCTCTTTGTCTTTCTCGCTCACCTCTCTTCTCTCTATCTCTCTCATTTCTTTTTTTTTTTCTCTCTCTCTTTCTTTTATCTTTCTATCTCTCTCACCATCTCTCTTCTCTCTCTGTCTCTCTCTTTTTCTATGTCTCTCTCTCGCTCATCTCTTTTTGCTCTATTTCTCTCTCTTTTTGTCAATCTTTTAGTCATCTCTTGTTTCTCTCTTTTTTTTGTCTCTCCCTCTATCTCTCTTTCTCTGTCTATCTCTTTCTCTGTCTATCTATCTCTCTCTCTCTATCTCTTTCTCTGTCTATCTCTCTCTCCCTATCTCTCTCTCACTCACCACTCTTCTCTCTCTCTACTTTGTCTATTTGTCTATTTCTTCCTCACTATCTGCGCCTTGCTCACTCTCTCCATCCCATCTTCTCTATTTATCGAGCTCTTTCTCGATTTATCGATCCACTATAAGAAAATACACTTTTAACAACCTCTTTGTCTCTCCCTCGCTCGTCACTCTGTCTCTCTCTCTCTCTCTTCTTTATCTGTCTCTCACAAAATTAAAATATTTTAAAAATATTTAAATATTTAAAATATTTAACTATGACCACCACCACTACTGCCACTACTACTACCATTACCTCTCATCCACCATCGCCACTCCATCTCCTTTACCACTACCACAACTTTTCCACTAATCTCTTTCGCTACCACTACCACCACCACCACGACCATCACCTCTTATCCACCACCTTCACTGTTGCTCCCTTTCCTCTACCACAAAAAATTAGTTCCTGGTTTTTAGTAAAAAAAAAAAAAAAAAAAAAGAGAGGCGGAAAAATATTTTTATTAAAATATTACCCCCTACTTCTTCAAAATAAAAAAATAATAATTTTTTTTCCTTAAAATAAAAATGAAACAAATAAATTTTCAACCTTAGTAATTAAAAAAAATGGAAAATAAAAAAAAATCATTAACTACAAAAAAATAAATTTATTTTAATTAAAAAAATTTCATTTTCCCGCTATTTAATTCCCCAATTTCTTTTCCCCTTTTTGTTTCTCACGATCTCAAATCATCAATCTCCAATCCCTTAAACAAAAAATTTCCAATTTCAAAAAGAAAAATGTTTCCGACCCCCTCAAAAACAGACCCTCTCGACCCCCTCTGAGCTGGACAGACACGTGATGGGTCACGTGACATGTAGGGGCCTCGAACCTCCTCTTTCAGAATTCAAAAACGGAAAATATAGAGATACAGAGAGTTATGGCCAGAGAGCTATGGTCGACGGAGGAGAGCTATAGCGGGCGCACGATGGAAGAGAGAAGAGGGAAGAGGGAAGACGGACAGGGGTGGGAAAGAAGGAAATATCAGGACCGTTCCGGCCGTTCCCGCTTTTTTTTTTTTTTGTCTTTGTTTTCAGTATATTTTTTTTTTTTTGTCTTTCAGGTGCGTGTATAACACCTTTTTCATCGTGCAATTCTTCTTCACTTGATTTCAGCAGGTGCCACCTCAGAGGGAGTCGCGGGGGTCAGTTTTGAAGGGGGTCTTTATCGCCACTTTGTCTCTCTTTCGCTTATCACTCTGTCTCTCTCTTTCTCTATCTCTCTTTTCTATCTGTCTCTCACTCATCTCTCTCTCTCACTACCCATCTACTTTACCACCTTCACCACTATTGCAAATGTCACTCCACTACCACCACTGTTGCCACTCCACCTCTATGACTACTATTACTATCACCATCGCTACCATTCAACTACCACCACTATCACTACTGCCACTACTACTACCATTATCTTTCCTCTACCATCGCCATTCCATCATCTCTACCACTACCACAACTTCACCACTAATCTCCTTCACCATCACCACCACCATCACCTCTTGTCTACCACCTTCACCACTACTGCCGCTCCCTTTGAAACTTGATTCAAATTTATTTTTTAAAGACTAAAAATTAGTTTCATGAAAAAATTTAAAAAATCAAAACTATCATACTTGTCAATTTTATATAATTTTTCGAAGGATATGATCGGCTTGTTTGGTTTAGATTTTTAGTATTTATTTTTCAGGAAATTGAAATTTTTTATTATGTGTGTGTGTGTGTTTTTTTTTTTATTTTTTTATATGTTTTCACTATTTGTTTTAATATTCTAAGCAACTTTTTTTAATTTTTAAATACACCACACATAAATACACTTTAAAAATATAATATTTATGAAAAAAAAATATTTATAAAATTCACTAAATACTATAAAAATATATATATATATATATATATACGAAAATTTAGTACATTTTTCGTATTCTTGTGCATTTATTGATTTTTAAATTTTTTTTTGACAAATATTTTATTTTTTA